TGAAATTTCCATTCCCCCCAAAAAAAGCATTATTTCCCTAACAGCAGGTGTTACCAGTAGCACAAATGGAATATTAATCTTATCTCCTAAGCCCTCCTCCCCACCCCCACCACCAGAGAAAACTTCCCCAGGGAGATTAGAGCATAATAAGCGGCAGGGAGCCGATTCCCACCCCCGCCCCCACCCGTGTTTGCTGGTCGGGCTGCAGAGCTGCGTGTCTAGTGTCCCCAAAGCCTGGATCCACATGTCTGTGTATCCGAGACCAAGTGCGCCTTCCGCGCCCAGCTGCTGGGAGCAAAGCAGCTTATCCCAGCCCAGCCAAACCGAAACCCACAGGTTTCATGGTGAGTGGCCAGCTGGACCCTGGAGGAAGGTATCGACGAAACCCAGGGCCAGCAAACACAGGAGAGACGAGCTGGTTTGGGCCAGCTCAGCCAGTAACCGCCGACAAATATTTGTGAATGGCCAGAGCAGGGAAGCCTGGGTCTCCATTGTTACGGGCCGAGGCCCAGCCCCAAGTCCGTTCCAATGGGTCGGGCCCTCGTAGCCCTTTCCCAGGGCAAGGACGTGGGCCTCATGGGGCTGTCGCCACAGCAGGTCTCGGTTGTAATTCATTCTCTCTCTCCCAAGAGGGCTGGATCTGAGGATGAACAGGGGGAGACAGGAGGTGGCACTGGGCGCTATGACGAGCTGACAGGCTGGACACACTGAGAGCCTCTCAAGGCCCTCTGGTGTGGGACTTCACCTACTGGGCTTCAGTTGGCTTATCTGTAAAATGGGCAGAAAGCCTGCACACAGAGAACAAAGCAGGGCCTTGAGCAGGAAGAAGGAAGAGGGAGAGGAGGTTCTGTGCCTTTTCCTTCCATGGCATCTGGCTCTTCCCTGCCCTCCAGGGGCCACCAGGCGATTTTACACACCACCCAGCACCCTGTCAGCCTTCCTCCACTCGAGTCCGTCAGGCTTGCCTGCCCAGTTCAGAGGGGGCCCTTGAGGGTGGGCTCCCAGGCCTCGCCTCCCAGCCCCAGACATCTCTACGTGTGCAAAGGAGCAGCCACCAGTGAGTCTGAGAAGACGCGCTACTGCCCAGAACCGGCAAGCTTGGTCTGTGCTGTACTGGCAGGGCAGGCTGGCGCCAAGGTCTTTTGAACCAGGGGGACATGGAATTCTTACCCCCACCCCCCGCCAAAAAGAAACATTCCAGAAAGAAACAGCAGAAGCTCTGCAAAGACCTGGCTGAATTTTTTTTTTTTTCCTGAGCCTTTGACCTCCCCCCGCCTTGTAGAAATTGCCCCTTCCTCCTCCAGGTAGAGGGAAGTTTGGTTTGGTTTGGTTGGGGGAGGGGCAGATCGGGGGCAGAGAGAGGGAAATCCCTGATATGGTCACTGGGAAGCCATACGGTTTCGAGACAAATGCTGGGAAGGGCTTGGTCAGCCACTCTCTGGGGCATCATTGGACCATGGCTGCAGGCACCACACAAGGTCTAAATAAGGATGACAGAAGTTGTGAGAACCGAGCATTATCTGCCAGGGAATTTCCAAAGTTCTTCTCTGAGCTTAAAAATTACTCACACTCGAAGAACAAAGAGAATGGAAGGAGAGGGGGCTAATTAGTTGAAAGTCCTTGAAAATCAAAGTAGGGAGAATTCACCCTTTAAAGTCACAGGCACAAGACACCCTGGGGAGCTGGTGGGCCGTGGAATTTCTTTCGTGGTCAGTTGGTGACTCCTGGGAGGAGCCTGGCTCCGTGACTCACTTGGCTGATGGGGCCCAACTCTCCCTGGGGTGTCCACGCTGGTGACGCCTCCCCTGCTGTCAGCGCAAACTGACCGTCTTCCAGAACTTGAAGCCCATTGAGATCAAATCCAGGCAAGGATGAAGTTACCACGCAGGCCTCGTGCTCGTTCAGCATACCGGGCTGCTGGAACTCTCTCTGTAATGACCCTTAAATTACTAGAATAATGCAGACAACTGAAACCGCTGGACGTTGCATATAAAAACAGACGCAAGAGGACTCCAGAAGGTGGAGAGAAGGCGGACGGGCACCTGAGGAATGACAGGTGGTGACTTGCTTGAGCTTTCTTCTGCGCCTCCTATGGCCAAGGCTTGGAGGTAAAGGTGCTGGCAACCCAAAATGCAAACAGGCACAGTGGGCCCACAAAGCCCAACAGGAACCTGCCCTCTCTAGCCGGGACCAGAAAGGGGCAGCCTCACAAGACAGGAGACTCTTAGACAATAGCTGCTCTGCTCCGGGCCAGTGCCCCAGAAAGTGCTGACTGTACCCCCACCCATGCCAGCAGAGGCCAAGTGAGGGGCCGAGATTCCACCCTCCTCCCAGGGTGTGGCAAGGCACCCTGTGTCAGTGTGGGGATCCAGAACTTCCACCCCTGCCAGTAGTAGACAGGACCCCACTTTGGGGTGTCGAAGAAAGCCCAGTGGGAAATCTGACCTCTGCTCCCCGCCTGGCAGCCACGAGGCGGGGCAACCCTTCCCACTTCGGAGCGAGGTCAGAGGAGACCAGACACGAGGTTTGATGAAGTCCAGAGTCTCCTCACATAATGCCCGAGATGTCCAGGTTTCACCTGAGAAGCTCCTGTCATACCAAAACCCAGGAAAATCTCACTTGAACGAAAAAAGACAACACAGTAGATGTCAACACCGAGATGACAGAAATGTTAGAATTATCTAAGATTTTAAGGCAGCCAACATAAAAGTGCAGCAAAGAACCATTAGAAACACTCGAAACAAATGAAAACTAGATCTTGGCAGAGAAACAGAAGATGTAACAAAGAACCAAGCGCAAACGTAATAGCTGACTTGAAAACAAGGGACAGGCTGGACAGCGGAACAGAGAGCATGAAAAGCTGGCGTAGTGGAAGGCGGAACAGAAGACGTGATCCAGGCCGAGCCACAGGGAGAAAACGGACCGAAAAGAATGAACTGAGCTTCATGTGTCCTGAGAGTCCAGAAAGCAGGAAAGAAAAAGGGTGGGGCTGAAAATTACCCAAAGAAATATGCCCGGAAACTTCTCGTGCGTTGCTGATGGGAATATAAAATGGTGCAGCCTCTCTGGAAAGCAGTTTGACTGTTTCGTAAGAAACTAAATATGCAGCTACCTTACAGCCCAGCCGTGGTGCTCCCAGGCGTGTAGCCCAGAGAAATCAAAACTACGTCACACAAAAGCCTGTACACAAGTGTTCCTAGCGGCTTTGTGCATAATAGCCAATAACCAGAAACAACCAGATATTCTTCAGTGAGTAAATAACTCACTGGTACATCCCCACTGTGGAATACTACTCAGCAGGGAAAAGGGATGAACTATTAATATACACAACCATGTGGATGAATGTCCAGGAATTATGCTGAGAAAAGTCAATCCCGGTGGGTTACCTCATTTTTCAGAAGGTAAAGTCTTCCTTCTGCAAACTTCCTTCTCCAACTTTACAACTTTTGAGGGGCTCATGGTCATCCTGTTCTCCAACTACTCCCAAATAGAGCTGTGGCGCAGAGAACGCCGTGAGTGGGGGACTGATGGAACACAGAGCGACGGGAGAGCCCTGTGCACAAGACTGAGGGTCGTCAGAATGCGCCCCCCCACCCACCCACTTGCCTCCGATCCACAAATCAAAATATTTGGTTTGTCCCGTGGCACTCACCGCAGATTTGGTTTGTCCCATGGCACACACCGCGGATTTGTTTCGTACGATATGCTCTGCTTAGAGAGTGTTGTGTCAAGTAAATTGGTGACCCTGTCTTTGCCTAAAACCATTATGCTAAATATCACTTCTATATTAGTCAGCTTTGGGTTGCCGTAACAATGTACCGTAGACTGGGTGGCTAAACAACAGGAATTTATTTTCTCCCAGTTCTGGGGGCTGGAGGTCCAACATCAAGGTGTCAGCAGGTGTGGTTTCTTCTGGGGCCTGTGATCTTGGCTTACGGATGGCCACCTTCTCGCTGTGCCCTCACATGGTCATTCTGTGCATGAGCATGTCTGTGCTAATCTCTTATCAAGACTACAGTCACATTGGATTGGGCTCCACCCTCATAGCCTCATTTTAACTTAATCACCTTTTTAAAATTTATTTTTATTGTTGACAGTGTTACAGATGTCCCCTTTTCTAAAGGCCCTATCTTCAAATACAGTCACTTCCTGAGGTTCTGGGGGTTGGGGCTTCAACACATGAATTGGGGTGGGATGCACACAGTTCAGCTCATAACTTCTTGTAGCATATTTTGTTACTGGATTTGGAGGTGAAAATGTCAATGTATCAAAAAAAAAAAGTTGTTTAATAAATAATATAGCTTTGCAAGGGCCATTGTGGTAAAAAGTTACTAACAGGAGCCCTGCTGGAGCGGCTCAGTTGGTTGAGCGTCATCCTGTGCACCTAAAGGTTGTAGGTTCAGTTTCCGGTCATGGCACATACCTGGGTTGCGGGTTTGATCCCTGAAGGCAGCCAATCGTGTTTCTCTAGCACATCGATGTTTCTCTCTCTGTCTCTCTGTGTCTCTCTCTTTCTCCAAGCGTGTCCTCAGGTGAGGATTTTTTTAAAAAGTCATTAATAGGATAGCTGTTATCGGATGCAGGGCTGTGTACTTTTTGCTGAAACATGCATCGAATGTGTTTGGAAGAGACACAAGGACAACAGCTGCTTCAAGAGAACACACAGAGTGGCTGCAGGCAGGAGGCTCACTGTACACGCTGTTGTATCGTTTGAGTGTTATCCCCCCGAACGTGTATTAAAGCAGCTTCTACTAGGGGAATGAGATACTTACTTTAAGTCAAGGATTGGCTTAAATCTTTATAATCTCAGGGACCTGCCATCTCATTCTCTGCTGATCCCCAGGCCGCGTCGCAGAGCCTAGCACACAGGGCGCACGCAGGAAGGGTGTTGAGAGAATGACTAAATGAGCAGCTCAGCGAATGCCTCGCACAGTGTTTGGGTGCAGGGGCCCTGAGCAGCCCACCCGCTGACCCTCTCTGTTTTTCCCTTTGGTCTGCAGACGGCAGCAGAGACCTCCAGGAGGGAACAAGCCCCAGCAGCATGGTGACCACCAGCCGGGCAGTGCCAAACACAACAGGGACCATCAGAAATCCTACCAGGGGGGCTCGGTGCCCCACCCCTCAGGGAGGCCCACCCATCACGGCTACAGTCAGAACCGGCGCTGGCACCACAGCAACATGAAGCACCCACCCAGCGACAAGGGGGAGGCAGGCGCCCACCGCAATGCCAAAGAGACCGTGACCGTGGAGAGCCCCAAACTTGAGGATGCCCTGGGGGACACCGGGCACGGTGGCCTCGAGCCCCCCCGCAGTCCTGATGGCCTGGCCCCAGCGGCTTCCGAGAGGCTGCCCCCGCAGCAGCCGGGAGCCCCAGAGGCTGAGACAAAGCGTAAAGACAGTATTATCCCCGAGCGCGTCGGGGAGCGGCCCAAAATTACCCTGCTCCAGTCTTCCAAAGACAGGCTGCGGCGGAGGCTGAAAGAAAAGGTACCGGTAATTGAATTTTCGTGTTCTCTTCCACCAGGGAGGACGGTGTGAGGTAGGCATGTTGGTGGGTGGGCTCGGGTTTCAGGGCCGGCGAGCCCTGTGGAGAGAAGCAGGGGCCCCACACCTGGCCACCATTGCCATAAGGACCCCTGGCCACCAGAGGGCAGGCCTGTGGCCAGCTCTGCCTGAACCCCTCCAGCACATTCTGGCTCCTCACCTTCTGGCCCCTCAGGAGGCCTAAGAGGGCAGGAAGCAGCCCATGCCTGGGGGTGATGGGAGGGTGTGGGGAAGCCTTGGTTCTTCCCTTCAGCGTTGTCTGGGGTCAGATACTGCCCTGTTCATGCTAAAGGCCGGTTGGGGGAAACAGACTTTTAAGAGAAGGACTGGTGCTTCTCCGAGGTCAGTAGCAGCCAGGCCGTGGCCCCTGCCAGGGTAGAGGGAAAGGGGTGATGACCAGAGGGCGAGCAGGCCTCAGCCGTCCCCTCATCCCCCAGCGGCCAGTGAGGGGTGTAAGGGACAGGGTTTAAGGAGACCTCACTCCCCAATCACAAGAGCTCGGCTCACAGATTCAGGAGGAGATACCCCACGCCTCCAGAGGGACGGGGCCCTGTCCCTGGCAGCAGACTTCTCTGTGCTCCCCCTGCCCCCCCCCCCCAGCCAAGGGGAAGGTAAGGTCGCCTTGGAGAGGAACTCGTCCTGAGAAAGGCCTCCTGGAGTCCTCCTCCGGGGGTTTCTGGGGAGCTCCACGTTCTGGGTGTCTCTGGCCTCTCTCTACTGCCTTCTCTCCTCCAGCTTTCTCCCCAGAACAGGCAGGTCAGGCCTCTGCCCCCATCAAGTCTTGAAGCTGAAATGCTGCTCCTAGCATCCCCACCCCACTGTTCCCTGTAGGGTCCTTCGGGAAAGCCTCACCTTCCCCCTACGCCCCAAAACAAGGAGCCCGGGAGGAGCTCCCAGCCGACAACCATGTGCAGTCGGCACCTGAACAGCTTCCGGGCCAGACGGCTGCAGCCCAGCCAGGGAGCGAGGGCACTAAGCCCTCCCCGGTCACTAAACCTACTGCAGTGCCGCAGAGTGGGGACCCCACGGGCTTGAGGGGCCAGCAGACCAGGCTTGGTCGTCACTCTGCCTTTGACTGGCTTGGTGACCTTGGGCAAGTTACCTAACCTCTCTGAGCCCATTTACTTGTCTGTAAAATGGGTGTAATATTACCCGCCTTGCAGACAAGGAAGATGACATGTCACAACATGTGAAGACCCTCGTGTGTGGTTAGTATTCCACATACAGACCACCGTTCCTGCCCTAGGGCCCAGATGGTTGGGCAGAGGGGTGGGTAAGGACTGTGGGAGTAGAACAGATAAAGTAGATCCATAGCACCCATTCCTCAGGTTCAGGGCTCCCTCAGGTGAGGCCTCCTGGGCCGGAAGGGCATGGGCTCAGGCAGTGGTCGGGCGCAGGGGAAGCTGTGGGCCTTCTGTATAACCTCCTGTTACCGGGGAGGAAACAGAGGCCCAAAGCCGTATGGCTAGAGGTGAGAGTAGGTTCTAGAACCTCTGTCTGTCCGCCCAGCCCAGAGCTCTCCTCATCGAGAACAGAAAGGCAGGTGACCTTACTCCACGTCCCTAATCCTGCCCTTCACCCCACCCTCACACCCCAGCAATCAGGTTGGTCATACTCTGGGCCCCGACCTGTTGTGTTTGAGTAAATACTTTTGAGACCATTTGTCTCGCCCCCAGCTGGTCTGGTGCAGCGGCTCTGAGGCCTCATCAGGGTGTGGGCTTTCTGTCTGAAATGTCCCTCCCAGCGGTGCCGGTCGTCAGTGACGCACTGGAGGGCTCCTTGGTGTGTCGTTTGTGGGTAGAAGGCCAGCACGGTCTCCCTAGGACGCAAAGCCAGGACCGTGTCCACAGGGATCCCTGTGTCCAGAGGTCACAACCACCCTTGGGCTCTAGCAACCTAGAGCCCCTCCAGGGTGCCTCTGACCGACAGCCAGCCTTTGGATGCCACCTTCCTTCCTGGCCCAGTGTTCCTGCCCTCATTCTGTCTTTGACCCAATTTTTTATTGATCTTATTTCATCTTTTATAAGCCCTATTAAATCATTGCTGGGTTGAGACCTTTGATGAACAAGTAGACAAACAGAACCAGTGTACCTAGAATCCCGGGTAAGAGGTAGACCTCACCGGAAGGCTCAGCTCAGGATGTCACAGGGGCCAAGGAAACGGTCAGGAGAGAGCCGGGGCCTGAGGGTCCTTGGTGGAGGTCCGCATTCCTGGGGGGACTCGGACCCGGGTTCTGGCAGGTGGGTCCTTTCTGGGGGTGGCAGCCCTCCCGCCACGGGCCACTGCCCCAACACACACACAGAAACCTCTGCGCCACTCGGGCGACTCGGTTTGTGTCCCATGCCCAGGATGAGGTGCCCGTGGAGCCCCCCAGCCCGCAGCAGAACAAGATGGACAAGCTGATCGAGATCCTGAACAGCATGCGCAACAACAGCAGCGACGTGGAGGCCAAGCTCACCACCTTCATGGAGGAGGCCCAGAACTCCACCAACTCGGAGGAGATGCTGGGCGAGATCGTCCGGACCATCTACCAGAAGGCCGTGTCTGACCGCAGCTTTGCCTTCACCGCCGCCAAGCTCTGCGACAAGATGGCACTCTTCATGGTGGAGGGGACCAAGTTCCGGAGCCTGCTCCTCAACATGCTCCAGGTAACCCGACACCGACAGCTGCCGGGCCGCCCCGCCCCCGGGTTATTACTAGAGAGAGGGCTGCGGATCTGACCACGCTGAACTTTTCCCAAGTTCCACCCTTGCCCGATTAATTATAGAAAATAAAAAGGCACTCAAGGGGCAGGGGTGAGTGGCCGGATTTGCGCGTGTTTGTGTGAGTGTTCCATGGTTACGGTGGACCAATATAATTCCATAGGCGCGTCATGTTTACCCAGCCTTCTCTCTTTCTATTTCCATGAGAAGAGGGCTGGCTCTCCGTCCTAACAGGCTGTGCTTTGACCTCTTCCCTCCGTCCGAGCAGACACGGCCTCCTCGGCCTCCTCCTCGCTGTGGACTTCCCTCTTCTCACTCCTCCTCCCCCAAACCACCCCCTCCCCCAAACTCCCTCCCCCGGAGGTGGTGCCCTTGGGTGTAGCTGGTGCTTAGCCGGGTCTGAGCGGAAGGCACAAGGGCTGTGAGCAGGGAAGGTCTGGTCTGGCTGCCAGTGCACTGAGCTTCCTGAAACCACATAGTGACTTAACACCGTCTTGTCCCTTGGTGCTTTCCCACTTAAAATCCCTCCACCCCCGGAGAGCTGAATCCGGCTCCTCATTCTTTCCTGCATGGGTGGCAGAGCCCAGCGGCACTGTGCTGTGCTGGTGAGGGTGCAGGAGGCGTGGGCACGGGCACTTAGACTGAGCCCAGCAGTTTCATCTAGTGAGTGGGGAGCTGGGGGCTGATACCTGCTCGTCTGTCCTGGGTGGTAGCAGGTGAACTGCTGGCCCCAGAACCGGTGGCTTCGGGGACAGGTAGCAGGTGGCATGGCATGGTGGCCGCGCCAGGCCCTGAGACTATCCTTGGGGTCTCCTGACTGGAGAAAAGGCATCTCTACGTTTACTCTGAACATCAGACCAGTTGAGATATAAACTGAGTTCCCAGTGCAGGTCAAGTAAGACAGCGGCGTGGAGGTTCTGAAAGTCAGGCCTGGACGAGACCACCTGCAAGGTTGTCTTAACCAGGGGGACCACGCAATGGGTCATCTGGACCATGACACTTCCGGCAGTCGGGGGGCTCTGCTCATAATTACACCTAGACACCAGGCGTCGACTAGGACAGGAGGTCACCCTGGGCATAGCCACCTGGTTCACGGTCTGCTATTTTTTCCCTCAGAACAGGGAGGAAGGAGCCCTCTTCACAGGCTGCCCACAGGGCTCCGACCCGCCGTGCTCTCCTCTTCCCGAGGAGCCTGCTCACTGCAACCTGAGCCCGGGCTGGCCAGCCTGGCCTGCGTCTCTCCAGCTCCCGGCCCTGATCAGGTTCCCATTCCTGGGTCACCCACGCTGCCCTGGTGACGAATTCCCGCATTGCCTGAGGGATTTGCACATTGGGCATGTTCCTCGCGGGCCGGAATGTCCTGGGAGAGTGTGGAGGGTGACGGCGGGAGCAGCCTGTCTGCCACGTACCGCCAGGCACGGGGAGTCAGGGATGGGATCAGCCTTTGGCCTTGGCTTTTGTCCTTTCTCAGGAAGGGCCAGGATAGGACAAGATTTCTAGACAATGGCTGCCAGAGCCCGGTAACTGAGCCAGAGCCAGTGATGGACAGACACCAGGGCATGGGGCAGTACCCAGCCGGGAAGGGCAGCTGACCACAGGGGCCACCCAGGACCCTGCCCAGGTTCTTGCAATGCCCCGAGGTTAGAGCGGCCTTGCCCACAGAGTCTGGCAAAGCGTCAGTCCTGGCAAATGCTCACCCACAAAAGGGGCTCTGGGGCCCTACACCGGCCTCTCCATCAGTCACAAAGCAGACTGGCGTAGGGGCAAGAAGGGATGCTGCTTGGCAGTGTTGAACTCGGTGAAGTCCTCTCTACAGTCCCCAGCTGATAACTTCTCGCAGAATCGCTGCGCTGAGAGACACGGTTTGGCCAACACTGGGACAGGGAACGAGTCTAAACTGAAATCTGAGAAACGGGGCTTCTCGGGCTGATCTGTGCTGTCAGCTGGAGCCCGGCCTCTGCAGCTCTCGCCGGGGAAGCGCTCGGCCGCTCGGCAGTGGCCGTAGGACCCTGCTGCTGGAGCTGAGTCGGGGGCCTCCGGAGGGGCTGCGTGGCCCCACTGGCCGCCTCCTCCCTCACTCTCCCAGGACCTGCCACTGGCGTGAAGCCCCCCTGCATCCCCCTAGTCCTCAGAACTTGCTCACCCCATATTGTGGCTCAGTGATGGGTATGTCAACCCTGTGGATGCCACCTTACTTCTGGGGCAGAGGAGAGCTGTCACCCCCACATCTGCTGTTTGCTGGTAGGCATTTGTGGGTCAGGTACTTAGAAATCTAAATGTCCCTCTTCACCACCTGCAGCCCCAGCCTGCATGTCAGCTGAGGAGGGAGCCCCTTGAAGGGATAACCAGAGGGCTCGAGCCAGGCACCCAGGCCTCCTGAGGTGCTCACTGTCCGGGGCCCTTTGGCTCCCATGGAAGACAGGTGGGATGTACCAGCGTGAGGCTACCCCTCCGCTGTTACAGACCCCTGCTTACGTGGCCGGCAGGGCCCGAGGGGGCCCGACCACTCCTCTCTGCGGCCCAGGACGTGGCCGGTTGGCGTAGGCTTTCCAGGCAGCGTAATTCATGGCCACCCACCACCCCGGACTCACAGAGTACAAAGAAGAGAGCGTGGCTCATCAAACCCCACTTCCCTTCTTAACACCCACAGGGATGTCTCTTTTCACCAGCTTTCATTTTCTGGCAAATCCGATTTATATCCCTTCGCCAGCAATCCTGGGCCCAGCCCCAGAGCCCTTCCCGCCCCTTCCTCCCTCTGAGGCCCGTGTTCCCTGCTTCCCCTGGTTCGGTTCTGTGGCCTCTGAGATGCCCCTCACGGGGTCAGGTTTGGCTGCTGCCTCCACATCCAGGGTCTGAGGCCCAGCTCGGTGATGGATGCTGGCTGCCAAGGGCCCCGGGTGTGACGGCCCTCCGGGCAGTGCCCGCAGCTCTCTGGGTGCTCCCTCCTGGGCCCGCCGCGCTTGCTGCCTGGGCGTCAGCACTGAGCACCGGGAGAACCGGAGCGGCTCTGACAGCGCGGTCGCGCTCGGCAGACGTGTGAGGGCTGCCTGCCAGGTTGGGGTACAGCCCCCATGGAGAAGGAGATGGGGCCAGGGGGAAGTCAAAGGACCTTTGACCCTTCCCAGCTAGACTCAGCATTGTCACCTCAAGGAACCCAGAAGCACTGCCTTCATGAGCTGTGGTGCTGCCCGAGACCCACCCTGGGGTCTCAGCGGACCCCTGTCACCAAGCCCCCGGCTCAAAAATGGTCTTCAGATTTTACACCTAAGCTGAGTATTTTTGTCCGAGATGTGGTTCTTTCTTAGTGGTGCTCTTATAAGTAAAATTCTACTTCACCAACAGCCCTTTCTTAAATGTCTGTTATGTGCCAACCAAGCACGTCCATTTGATCAGTTTCTCAGCGTGAATGTGCGTGTGAAATCACATGGATTTCACTTAATGCAGATTCTGGTTCAGGGAGTCCGGGTGGAGCCTGGGATTCTGCATTTCTAACACACTCCCAGCTGCTGCCGATGCTGCTGGCCCAGCAACAAGGCGGCGGATGGCTGTGGGCGATGGGTCCGTTTCACAGATGGGCCGACTGAGGCGCTCTCTTTTCACAGTGTGATTGTCAGGAGTGGGGATCCAGCCTGGGAATGTTGAGTGTCAGCCGCCGAGTTTTCTCCAGGCCCGTGGTCCTCAGCCTAGCTCTCCATTAGACTCAAAACATGGCTGCGGGGCCCGACCCCAAGCACGGGCCTGGGCATCTTTTTTTAAGAACTCCCCAGGTGAGTCTGCGGGGCAGCAGGTTGAGCAGCACTGTCAGGAAGATGCTCCAGAATGCCCTGACCGTGCTGCCCTGGTCACTTACGAACCAGCTAGCCCTGCCTGTCGCCCCATGAAGGAGTCCAGACATAGCTGCCAGGTACTGGAGTTTTGCTGAGCCCTGTGGGTGAGTTGGTGGAGAACACCAAAGAAGGAGACATCAGCAGTTGAAACGCCCCTTCACTTTGCCCAGCCTCAGTTTCCCCTCTGTGCAGTGAGGAAGCTGGTCTGGCCCATCCCAGGGGCCCTTTTCCATGTTCCTCACCATCGTCCCGAGGTTCCAAGTGAACCAAGTGGGGGCCCAGAACTGCCTCTCCTCTTCCACTGACCCCATTTCTCTCTCCTCCGTTCCTCTGCCCATGTCCTGTTCCTTTTTCTTTGCCTTAGATGTTGTCGGAGCAGCTATCACATCTGGTAGGAAAGGGGCCCCCCTCTCAACCACGTTACCAGGCTGTGCCAGAGCCGGGGCCACTAGGTAAAGCTGGGGAGGTGATCCTCTTCACTGCCCAGCCTGGGTCTTCCCACCCGGCTCCCAGCTTCTTCGTGGTCACAGAGGCCCACACCCACCACAGTATGTGGCTTGATGATTTCTGATTTCCCGGAGAATGTAGCTGCCCAGGGCCCCTGGGTGACAGAAATCCCAAGACGCTGCCTTGATCCTCACCAGGGATTGCACGCTGCTGGGGAGGGGACGCCCGTTTCACGGCGAGGTGAAGAATGAGCGTGCCTCTGTTTATGGGCCATTTGGAATGACAGGAATTGGAGGCCTGAGCCCCTCCACCCAGCACGGCCCGTCGCACCCCAGGCCTTCCAGCTGGGCTCAGGGAGCGCTCCTCTGCCGAGCTATGCAGGGGGGTGCAAGTCTGAGCCTCCTGTTGCAATGTGCGCCCTGTTTAGCCAGGAGGTGTCTGCATGTGAGCTATGCGGAGCGGAGTATTCTTAGAGCGGCATCAGTGTGTCTGTGGCTGCACCCAGCTCTCCCTAGCAACCGTTACCAACAACACCTCTAACAGAAGGATGCGATACCTTTTTATGAAAAAAAACAAAAACAAACAAAAAAAAACCATCTCGACCAAGTCGTAAACACGGCAGGGTTGTTGTGAAAAGACAACGCAGAATCCGAATCTGGAATGTGACCAGAC